TTTGATATTATTTATATAATAATATATAATTAATTAAATTATAATAATATAAATGATATATTATGTATTATATTATAATTTTTTATTATTTATAACTTATAAATATAATCTTATTTCAAAAAATTTCATGCATAAGTTTATCAATTTTTTTACTTTATTGTTGATAAATAGTTATCGAATTTTAAATGAATAATTAATGAACCTTTAATAAATAATTTAATGAATAGTTGTTAAATTTTTGATAAATTATTAATAAATTTGTAATGAATAGTTTTAATGAATAGTTGATGAATAGTTGATAAATAGTTGACAAATGTTTAACAAATAGTTGACAAATAATGGACAAATGTTTAATGAATAGTTAATGAATAATTGATAAATTTTTGATAAATAGTTGACAAATATAGTTGACGAATAGTTAATAAATAGTTAATAAATTTCTAATAAATTTTTAATAAATAGTTTTGATGAATAATTGACAAATAGTTGACAAATAGTTGACAAATAGTTGATGAATAGTTGATGAATTTTTGACAAATTATTAATAAATCAATATTAAATTTTTATTGAATTGTTAATAAATAATTTTGTAACAAAATTTTAATGAATTTTTACCAAATTGTTAATGAATTATTTGATAAATTGTTAATGAATTTTTTGATGAATTGTTAATATGCCAAATTTTGTAATATTTATAAATGAATTATATAATTGCTGATTTATGTGTGTCATTTTTTTGCCAAATGTTACATGAGTGGCAGTATGCCAAATAATTTTTTTTCGACTAGTGTAAGATAAGTGAGTCAGTTAAAGAATTAATTTTAGCAATGCAAATTATATTTATATACAGTTTACAAAAGTTTAATAAAGCACACATAACTGGCCTGACAGCAGGTTAAAAAAAAAAAGTAAATAATTGTATAATTATAATTTACATAAGTGAATAACTCAATGCAAGGGTAATCGTCGAATGGGATTAAAGTTTCAAACTCTTGCAACACATACTAATTTCAGAATCTCGTAAATCGCTTCATAAATCATTCGTGTAAATTATTTTATTTTATTTTAATTTCAATTTTTTTTTACGCAATTTCATACCTAATTTAATTTAATTGACAAACACAACACTCCACGTCGTAAATTAACAAATTATTAATTATTGATCAATAATCGTTAATGTAGTATTATAGGCATTATTCGTCAAAAACTATCTTTTTTCCTTGCGCGGGAATGATTGCCCCACGATTTGCGGCAGCAAAAGATTTTCCACCTCTGCCGCGATCACCGCCCCAGCCACCTCTGCCACCGCGATCACCGCCCCAGCCACCTCTTCCACCTCTTCCACCGCGATCACCGCCCCAGCCACCTCTTCCACCGCGATCACCGCCCCAGCCACCTCTGCCACCGCGATCACCACCGCGTCCGCCACGGCCAAAAGAGTTCCCTCTTTGAAAACCTAACGAAAAAAATATCAAATAAATAAATGGATGAATAAAAAAGGAAAAATAATAAACAAAGAATATAAAACTAAAATCAAGAAAGCGCAAAACATACCTGAGTTACTTGGTTTACTCTCAGCAAAATCGAGTTTAATTGAACGCCCTCCTATTTTTGTACCGTGCAACTCCATCGCCTTTTTAGCGGCAGCAACACTCGAAAATGTCACATATCCGAAACTATTGTCAGGAACAAAAAAAAAATGTTACTTAAACGAAACAAGTAAATTTTGATCAAATATCAAATAACAAAAAACCACCTACCCCTTACGACCACCCGTATCTCTATGAGTTGGAAGTCGAACAGATACGATCTCACCACAATTCCCGAAAACTTCGTAAATATCATCTTCCGGGACAGAAAACGGTAAATTACCAACGAAAATGGTGTCACTGGGTTCGCTCATATTATTTACAGTGTTCATTTTAATGTTTATTGGTCTTCCATCGATTTCCTTGCCACTTAACTTTAGCGCTTCTTGTGCGGCCTCAGAACTTTCAAATTCTATATAACCGAACCTAAATGATTGATCTCAATTACTGCAATTTCTTTAATCAATTGAAGCTCTAAGAATAAGATATGTTATTATTACCCTTTGGATCTTCCTAATGTGTCATATTCGACCGTCGCGTCCACAATTTTTCCAACATCCTTAAATGCTTCTCTTAACGAATCATTATCTACACTATATGCGAGATTTCCTATAAACAATTTACAGCTTGGTGAGCTGTCAACATCGATTTTTGGTTTTTTGGACAGGACGGAACTCGGTTCGTTTGCCTTTCTCTTTGCACCATTTCTCTCCGAAACATTGAAACTTTCATCAGATTTAGTTAGGCCTTGAGAGATATGACTGGTCGAAGGCTTCTGATTTACCGAAATCTTCTCATCATCATCATCAACCAATTCATCTTCCCCCGAGGAGCTTGAGTCACTACCATGCTTTTTTTTGCCATTACTAATTTTATGGTTTTTAATATCATTTTGGATTATTTTCTCTTCTTCACAATCAGAACTATCGGACTCTTCTGAACTGGAACCATCATCACTAGAACTGTCATTATCACAATTTTTTTTTTTTTTTTCATTCGTCCGAACTTTAACAGTTTCTTCTTCAGAACTCTCATTAGCATCACTCGAATCATCGCTGGAACCATCACTCGAGTCTTCTTCAGAAGCTTCCACTTTTTTTTCTTGTCTTGAAGACGCGTCATCGGATTCTTCTTCCGAGTCCTCTTCGGAACCAGAACTAGACTCTTCTTTTGTACCTCCCTTCCCTTTACTCTTGCTCACTTTCGTAGTCGAAGTATTCTTGGAAACCTCCTTTTCATGGTCATTGTCGACACTGGAATCGTCGTCACTCGAGCTCGACTCTTCGGAACTCGAGTCGTCCTCGCCGCGTGATTTGGTCAAGCCTATATTGCCGTTACGCTTGAGAATACTAGATTTACCGTTGTTATCGGTGCTTGAGTCGTCTTCACTCGAATCTTCAGAGCTTGACTCGTAAGCAACCTTTTCCATTTTTTTTTTTATTTTTTTTATTTCGCTCATGGCAAAATTTCACTAATTGATGATGAATCGATCTTCAATCTTAAGAAAAAAAAAAAAAAAAAAAAAAAAAAAATTTTCCTGATAATGATTATAACACGTGAACCTTGATCTTATTTATATTATGTACTGTACATAATTATAGTAAATGAATTATGAAAACTATCGACAATTCAAAATTCTCTAATGGTTGTATTGCGCCAAGTTCCATCACTCGAACGATAGACATCGAGTGGGAGTTAATGCAGGAACTCGTATCGCGTTGGAAACATAGTGTTTCATACTCCCAAGTAACGGGCAGCTATAGAGAGTGTACGGTCGATGTCGTTAGGAGTATTGAAAGAGTCACCACATTTTTACACGCGTTCCATGAGGTACTGAATCCGTGATTGACCCCATGTACTTTACTAGATGTTTATTAATGTGCTCAAACAATTCGATAGAAATTGCTTTGCTGCAAAACCTCTCAGGAATGTGCATCCAAATTTCCCAAAGGTGGGACATTATTAACAGACCTGGTGGTACCTTCTTTTTCTTATATTCACTTATCTTAATCGAATCTTTTTCTGATTTATCACAAGGGTTCTTAATTATTCTTTTCGTGATAATTCTGATCTAATTTAGCACATCAGAATTCTTGTGCTTCACCCGACCGTATGCAGTCTACTTGTAAAATGCATCATAGAATACTCGAAATTTTTCACGGAATTTCCTCGGACTCTAGGAGATTCAAGCAGGTACGCGTTTCTCTCTGTTGACACTTTGCAAGTTTTCTTGCACAAATGTATCATTATGTTTCCTTATAGTCGATCAAGGAATTGGTGTTCCCATAGAATACAATCCTTTTTCCTTCGTCACATTCCTAAAGAGTACATCGACAAATCTTCTGATTCTCTATCTAAATCTTGTGGAGTGGAAATTCCCGACTTTTCTCGTTTGATGATCAATGAATCAATTGCAACAATTAGTGAATTTTTAGAAACGGTGAACACGGAATTTTTGATGATACCGGTAAATTGACATCAATTGTCATTCTACCCTTACCAATTCTCCTTCTAAGTTAATGTTCCACCGTAGCCTCAGTACTTGACAGAAATCTCTGATCAATGTTTGCCATTATTGGAAGACCTGTCAATCTCGGAACTGATTGATCGTTTAATCTTCACTGCAACCAGAAGCAACTTAGATTCTACCTCTTGTACCGATCACGGTGAGACTTTGTCATACGAGTTTGTGGAAAAGTTGATATTTTTCAATTCTCCCATGTTCGATAAATTGAGCGTTGAGGCGAAATCCGGGTATAATTGTTTAAACAAAACGTGACAGAATATTGGGGAATATTATAGAAAAGAGCATGTTCATGAAAATTTTGAATTCATTTGTGTAGACTGTGGGCTTCCTACCCTATTGCAGTGGAACACGAGGTATACGGTCATGTATATTCTCTATCGCGTCATCGAAGGTTCATTATTAATCGTGATTAATATGCACGTACTTTAAAAATAAATAGATTATGAAAATTTTTGGAAACATTCTTTTCCCCTCAGATAATGAATACGTGACACCAAACGATATCAAAAAAATCATGCGGAATGAACTTTTCTTTGAGAGAATGATCGCGCATCCAAAAATATGCCATATCTGCTTTGATGTGTTGACAAACTTGGTAAACGAATCTCAGGATTGGCGAACTTTTCGTTTAGTAAGATGCATGATGCAGCTCATTTTTGATTGTTGCGTCCAAAAAGGTTTTGGTCCTTTAACCATGGTACGACGATGTGGATAATGTTACGTGGTGATTATGTGATTACGAAATCCTATTAATTAAAGAAGGGGTTTTTTTTTTCTCTCTCTTTTTTTTTTTTTTTTCCTAAAAAAAAAAAAAAAAAAAAGTACCTGCCGCAGTCTTTTTCGAAAATCATATCCATTCTCACAGATGATGTTGGGCTTCACAATTTTTCAACAATTAATTCTAGCCTGAATCAATTTTTGTTGGACAAAAAACCTTCCGATTTTGACATGTATAGAAAAAAAGAATGGATAATTTTGATGTCTTTCCCCAAATGGCATTATTGGATAATAGGGTCGATGTTTGACGTGATGCATTACCCGGATGTCAGGGTGGTAAGTAATTTATTTATTGATTATGAAATAAATTCGGAACGATCTCCTGGTAATCATACCTTTTACTTTTCAGTTGGAAGATCCAATACATTATTTGACATGGCTGATTTATCCAAGGGGTAATGGCGCCGCGGTTGCTCTTAAAAACACCTTGATGGATGTCATTGGTTACGTCAGAGGTAGATTAAAAAATTTACATCTTGAGTGTTAGTAAGCATCTGTATTTCCCTGAGTCAAGAAATTCTTCTTCGTTCGGATGTCAACACGAATCTTAGAATGCTTGTCGGATTTCCATGACGTGAACAAGAAGATCCTTTCGTTTCTGAATCGCAATCGGAACATTTTTGAAAACCACTTGATATTGATCGACATCGTTTTAGGAATATGGAGGACGACAAACTCCACAAGTTTGCTTAGTGAGATCATAAATCTCTTCGTAACAAATGATGGGCGACAGCATGACGCCTCTTCGAGGTGAGATTATATTTAACTGGTTCGGTGATATTCTGTTAATCGATAATAGCCAACATTTCAGTATTTGCAGGGGTAATGATGAAATAAATTTGGTAACCCTGACCACAATTCTGGATTATTTTTATGAGACGAATGCCACGGATAACGACGAAATGCTGAAGGAGTTTTTAGATGGCCTTACGCGCATATACAAAACCTCGTTAACATCCGTGGATAATGTATATAGCGATTGATGGATGACATCGTGTCGCACGTTTAATTGTACATAGGTAACTGAAAACTAGCATTTTTTGCAATACACCGTTGTTTTAATGAAGTTTTACCAAAAGGAAAAGAATTTTTTGTTTCCAACACTCAACTTCTTTTCCATTTTTTCCGAATTTTACTTGTTTCGAGACCATTAAAAATCCAATATGGCGAGTTGTTCGCGTATTGATCTGTGTCATGAAATACCTTGATCTCAAATCTGTGATTGTCTTTCCAAAATTTTCTCAAAAAAAAAAAAAAGAAAGAAAGAATAAGGCCTAAATTATGATAAATCAAATTCTTCAAAGTCATCATTCGCGTCATCGTACCCATGTTCACGTATATAACAAATCTCAGAATTACTTGGTTCCCCAACGAATTCAAAGAACCTTGACACTACTTCACTAATTTCATTCGTCAACCCGTGATCATCAAATGTGATTTTACCATCTTCCACTCCTAATTTCTTCATTTTTCCATTCCTCTTTGCAAATTTTACAATGATTTCAATTAGTTCGTTATTAACCTTATTGTAACAATCCAAAGTCTCCATTTTAACCTTAACATTCTCCAGTAAGGATCCCAACAATTCTGGAGTCTTCGTGATCTTGACTCCCAGATGCTTTAAGCTGACGGGAAAACTTTGAGCTAATTGTGTTAAGGATTCAGGGGTGGACGACTTTATCACAAGAATTAAATGATGAAGTGAGTTCAATAGTGGGAGGTTGGTGCATAGCGAGGGAAGTTCTTTGAGGGTGACGTGAATCGATAAAAATGGAATCCTTGGGCAGAATTGGCTGATGGTTTCTATGATTTTCGCGTCGATGCAGTCAAGTTTTATGAACTCCAAACGTTTGCTTGATAATCGAATAAGAAGTTGAACTACCAATGAGAAATGCCAACAATTCGCTTCATAATGGGTGTGAAAATTTGCCGTCAGGTGGGTGACATGGATGGGGGGTAGTGACTGGATGGAATCCATGAGTGGACTAATATTCTCGATCTCGTAAAAATTGGTTATGCCCAAGATCCTTAGATTTGGACAATTACTTAAAACGGGCAATAGTCGGTGAAAAAATCGGAGATTATTGGTTCTTAGGGATGTCAATGAGTGAGCTTGGGTCCGGAGCGAGTCGTAAACGGACGACGAATGCGAATGATCCAACCATTCGAACAATTCTATTGAACGAAGTGCCGCCTGCGATTCTACGAAATGCGCCAAGGCCTCACACAGTGGCTTGTAATTTACGAGTCTGAGGTAAACGTCAAATTCAATGTGGTGGACGTTACGAGCATAGCGAGATATCGTTCGAATATAGTTCGTTAACACCTTGCCGGAGTCCTCATCCAAGCCATCCCAGCACTGAGTCTCAAATATTTTAATACTTGAGAGAGCTCGGTCAATTCCATCATAATGTTCAATATCTCTCAATATAGGGTATATTCCTCGAAAATCATTGGTCTCATTGCAATTGTAATTAAAATCGTGATCCCATCTTAGTGTCTCCAGTCCTTTCGAACGACTAAAGATGAGCTGAACGATAAGATTAATGGTAAAACCCATCTTTTCGGTTTTGTAAGGTTCACTAACATCCTGAAATATCTCTAGCCATTCTGAAACGCAGCTTTGCATGTTGTGAGTATTCAAACTTCGAATGTACGAAGGATAGTCAAATAATGGTAATGATGAGTTAGACTGTGTCTTGATGCCGATATCTATCCAACGCTGTTTCTCGTCATCCTTTAGACATTTCACCAACGTCTGGAAGATGTGGGATGCCTTGTGTGCATTGATCTTATACCCAAATGGGCACCTCCATAACAGTGGAATCGTGAGTTTTGCCATTTGACGATTAGCGAGAAGGCATGAGTAAAGTGTCTGAGGTGTTATGGAATCATTTTCGAGGTGTTCCAAGATCTCGATTATACAATCCAATGGCAGTATAGAGTTAACCTTGGTTTTCTTGGTCTGTTCACTTGTAACGCTTGACATGGTGAAAGTTATTTATGATCCTATCGGTGTCAATTGTAGTTGTAAGTAAAGGTAATAGCTGATATAATGGGTGATCGTTTTTATCAATTGCACGTGGCTAACCCTTTGGTCTACATCACGCGCATGTACTTTTTTAAGAAAAAAACCGGTTTCAAATAACACATTTTTTCTTTAAATACTTCTTTGTCAGAAAAGTAATCGGTACAGATTGGGGAGCTGTCACTTCCTTTTTTAGAATGAACATTGTTTTTTTTTTTTGAATTATCACGATCAACCCATTGCATTTTTTTTCTGAAAATTATATAGTGATCTCGAAAGTAATATCAATATCTTAGTTTAAACCCTCTCGAACATTATTTGTTGGATGAGTTAAAAGGCTAACGAAATTGCTTATCCAATTGTCCAAGCAAACTTTTCAGATCAATTTTTAAAAATGGACTGAAATTTGGAGAGGTATTAGGGTAGGAGAAATCAGAAATATGGCAATTATAAACGGTTTAGAACTGACTTTTCATCATTTAAATGCTTTATACTCCCCAACGGAGAACTTGCACCGACGAGGCTTGATATAATACGTAAAAGTTTAATCCAAAGAGGCGTTCCTGAATTCTTGTGCGCTCTAAATGTTCTAAATATAAGACTTTGTAGAACAGTTTGTCATTGTTAATTGATCCAAAAATCAATAAATTGCTTAGTTAGGGAGAAAAAGGAAAAATAATTGTGAAAAGAATACAATTCAAGGTTTATTAAAAAAAAAATAAAAACAACCTCCTCTCAAAAAAAATCTATCTGATTGAAATAGCTTTCTTGTTTCATTTGAATTTCAAAAAAAAATTTTTTTGTTATCACCTGTATAATTATATCAGACAAATCAATTCAATTGATTCTTCATTTAAGCAACTATTAGATTAAAATACAGTATCTCAAAGAAAACATTAAATCTTAACTTTTGTTTATTAAAACTTTATCATTACTTGAGAAACTTAAATAATATATGGAAATTTATAATCTACATTATCTATTTTTTAGTTTACTAATCATAGATATCTTCATTAAATGACTTGAACTTCTGAAGATAAACATTTCTAAAACATTCTTTTAGTAATTAATAATATCATTAAAACATATGAGTATAATTAATTTAAGTTTATTTATATTTCAAAAATTAATATGTTTTATATCAATCAATTATCTTTAATAATGAATTTGTGTTATTCAAAATTCAAGGTCAAATTGAGATAGATAAAATTTCTCAGAAAATTATAAAAATAAAGCTTTAAGAGAATCAAGATAATTAAAAAAAAAAAGAATAAATTTTTTTATTGCATAAAATCTCTATAAATCTTTTATTTAAAAAGATTTTCAAACATTTTATAATCAATTCTTCTTTCTTTAAAAACTTTTTTGCCATTAGTATCAAAGATCTTTTTTAACTATTTAAAATCAAGTTTTCAAATAAAAAAATTTATAAATAATTGAAAAATAATTGAAAAATTCTTTAAAATTATATTTCAATTGTTTTAAGAAAACTATTAAAACTTTATTAATAAAGAAATATAAAAATTTCTTGTAAATATCTTTTTTAGATATAATTATAGAATTAAAAAAAAAAAGTTTTTTTTAAATTCTAAGTTTTTATATAATTTAATTAAAATTGAATTATTATTATTATTATTATTATTATTAATTCATAATCATATTATTATAATATATTTTTTATTGAAATATTAAATAAACATCCATAATATTATGTAAATTTTTACATAATAATTAATTTGATTTTATATTTTATTGATTAAAATATTATATTATTTAAAATTATAAGAACACTAATTAAAATTATATCATTCAGCTGTCAAATTATTGTTGAATTTGATAATAAAAAAATTAATGAATTATTTATGATTGCTGTCACTTGATATTAAAAATATCGACATGTTGTGAAAAAAAAATTCAACACAAAATCTAACAATATTGTAGCAAAAAAATTGATACTATAACAAAAAATTCAGCAAAAAAAATTGATACTATGATAAAAAATTTAGCAAAAAAATTACTACAGAAAAAAATTCACCAAAAAATTAATATTTGACAAAAAATTTAACAAAAAAATTACTATAACAAAAAATTCAAATTTTATGAAATTTATTAAAAAATTACAAAATCAATTGATTAAATTATTCATTATTTTCCTCTTTCTTCTCTTCCTTTTCTTTCTTCTTTTTCACTTGCTTTTCTTTTTCCTTTAAAGATCTAGACTTAACTCTTTTAAAACTAGTCCCAATTAATTTTATTTTATTGAATATTTTTTAAGATTTTTTACTTTTTTTATCTAATATAACTATCTCCCGAATTTTACCTATTTGTGCACTTATTTTTCCTTTTTCTCCCTAACTAAGCAATTTATTGATTTTTGGATCAATTA